AGATACGATAGATAGATACATAGATACGATAGATAGATACATAGATACGATAGATAGATACATAGATACGATAGATAGATACATAGATACGATAGATAGATACATAGATACGATAGATAGATACATAGATACGATAGATAGATACATAGATACGATAGATAGATACATAGATACGATAGATAGATACATAGATACGATAGATAGATACATAGATACGATAGATAGATACATAGATACGATAGATAGATACATAGATACGATAGATAGATACATAGATACGATAGATAGATACATAGATACGATAGATAGATACATAGATACGATAGATAGATAGATACATAGATACGATAGATAGATAGATACATAGATACGATAGATAGATAGATACATAGATACGATAGATAGATAGATACATAGATACGATAGATAGATACATAGATACGATAGATAGATACATAGATACGATAGATAGATACATAGATACGATAGATAGATACATAGATACGATAGATAGATACATAGATACGATAGATAGATACATAGATACGATAGATAGATACATAGATACGATAGATAGATACATAGATACGATACATAGATACATAGATACGATACATAGATACATAGATACGATACATAGATACGATAGATACGATACATAGATACGATAGATACGATACATAGATACGATAGATACGATACATAGATACGATAGATACGATACATAGATACGATAGATACGATACATAGATACGATAGATACGATACATAGATACGATAGATACGATACATAGATACGATAGATACGATACATAGATACGATAGATACGATACATAGATACGATAGATACGATACATAGATACGATAGATACGATACATAGATACGATAGATACGATACATAGATACGATAGATACGATACATAGATACGATAGATACGATACATAGATACGATAGATACGATACATAGATACGATAGATACGATACATAGATACGATAGATACGATACATAGATACGATAGATACGATACATAGATACGATAGATACGATACATAGATACGATAGATACGATACATAGATACGATAGATACGATACATAGATACGATAGA